GGTGACATTTCCAGACTTTGTGACGACATGTGGAGCTGTGTCTCCACATGTCGTGATGTGCCACATGACGGTGATGTGCCACCGTGTTCCAACATACACACAAAAACTTCTTTACTAATCATCACAGTATTTGAATGGCCAGAAAATTCACCTGACCAAAACCTTCACCTTGTGGTTGCTTGGGATGAGAGAGAGCATCAAAGTTAAAATTCAGTGCAATCTGCTGGTTGTATTGAAAGCTTCTTACTATTTGTCATTACATAACTTGCTGGAATTTGAATATATGCCACAGAAATGTGAATCTGATATCTGGATGGAACTCTTTTGGAATGAACCGAATTGAACAGAATTACTTTTGAATTCATTCGATTGCATATACTGTTTCAGTATTGATGTGATTTGCATTTGTATAAACAAAACTAAAAAGAAAAATGTGTGATTTTAAACTTTTTAAAATCACACATTTTGTCCTATTGAGTGTTTCTCAATTCAATAGGACAATCGGCCAACGAAGCATTTACACTGACTGACCCCTCACAGGTGTCTCAGATTTTAAACACTTCACTAAAAGCATGCTAAGTACCATAAAAAACTGCTCTTGTCCCCAGGTTTTCAAAACCTGACATTTTCTTACCCAGTGGTATCTTTCAAATGCACCAAAGGGTTTACGCTGCTGCTTTGAACCTGCAGATTTGCCAGTATTTGTGCACTTCTTTGTAAAGATATACAAAAATATTTCTACCACTTTGACATGTTACAATGTTACAACCTTAATTTAATCATATTAGAGTTGTATGTGCTATCCCAGTTCAAAGAAAGAAAGTATAAAAACTGCTGTACTATAAAGTTGTGGGGAGATTTAAAGTAGAGTTAGGTATAAAACAACATCACCTACTGTGAACATCTCACAAAACATTTTTCAATCCATCATCTAAAAATTGACGTCTCAAACAAAAACCTTTACTCAGATGTTTTATGGCAGAAATTCACAACAAACGTCATATGAATAAATTTCACAAGATAAACAGTTTCAATTTATTCCCCAAATTCTATCATAAGACAGACGTATTCAAGTGCCATTATACACACATTTCAGATTGCAATTGTAATTGACCGTTTCACGTGAAACACAGTCAATTGAATTTAATAAACAACTTTTCTACATCTCCTAATAAAGCTTGTGGGAATAGTGGATTATTGATTGGAGCTAGTCCAACTTTGCAGCAACTTCTGACACTCAGCATGTATGTGGCGAAAGTGGAGAGAACCAAACCTTTAGCTGCAAGAGTTCTCCAGAAGAACCTGCCTCACATTCGGCATCCATCTGCTGCTGTCTACCGGGGGTTTGAGAGAACAGAACATATGGAGGAAAAAGAAGCAAAGAACACAGAGAAACCCTCAGGGATTGCTCTCTATCATAAAGAAAAAGTACACAGAGTTATTAGCAACAGCAGCTGTTTTTTGGGGCTTCATTGGGTGGAAAAACACAACACAATAGATAAATTCTGCTGTAGTCGTACATTTCATGGAGTGGAAGATGTAAATATCTTTCTATTTATAGAAAGATATTTACATAATGTTGGCAGAAACGGCTCATCTTAGAGAGATTTTAACCAGATATGGGATTTCATGAGCACACAAAAACATTAATCAGATGTGCACTCTACAAATCTGACATTTATAGAAGAATGATGTTCAAACAGGTTCAAAAAACAGGTTCAAATTTATGTGGAGAAGGATGGAGCTCAATAAAGAAAAACAATGGAAGAAAAGCTGTTATTTGTGTGCAGAGGCTCTTAATGCGCTGATTAAACCAAAGGGCTGCTCCAGTTTAAACTCCTCTCATAACTGTGATTACCTCTGTTGCTGGTGCACCTTTTCCAACCACATGTTTTCCTTCCATTAAACTTTCTGCCTGTATACAGCACTCTGAACAATCAGCTTCTTCTGTAATGAACATTTTGTGGAGAGGGTCAGTGACTGTTTTCTGGACATCTGCCAACAGTCTTCCCTCTGATTATGTAGGTTTGGCTATAACTTAAAATGTATACATTAACAATCTTGTCTTAATTGCTACTTTGTAATATTCACTGCATATTGAAAACTGGGTTTTATTACCTCTAAACCATGAATATTGAAATTACAGAAAAAAAGACTTCACTTTTTTTCCACTCTATAAGTACATATTATGATACACAAGTTTCACTTTTTGATATGAGTGAAAAATATAACTAGTTCACAATATTCACATGTTTTGACAAATGTTCAACAGACTCAGGCACAAAAGTCTGAACAAACAGTTTGTAAATACTATAAATGTGCTGTCCTGTTTGGTCTCAACTGTCCTGTTTCCAGTTAAAACCTAAATGTATTTACTGAATAAACATAATCCAAGTGTAACTTCTGGATCTGAATATCACAGCAAGAAAATGTCAGATATTGCAGATATCTTAGGTTTTCACAATCTCTTTATCTCTACTTATGTTCTCATGCAAAACAAACCACATTATTTGATCTGAAGATCAGCTGTTGCAACATTTGACGTTGCATTTGTACATCTTTCTCCTTTTCCAATTGCTTTCGTATCCATTCCTCATGTCAGTTTCATCATAATCACACGCTGTTTGTCCTCTCCATCGTGCTTTGATCTCTGTGGTTCATAGATATTTGGATCTCAGGAATATGACCAGCAGTTACTGCTGGCAGGTGTGAAGAACAAATAAAACCCCCCTTAAACAAACTCCCGAAAACCAATTTAGGTTTGTGTGCTTCCTCATATAGACAAACTTGATGACTATTATGAGGAGTAGAAACAAATCAGGCAAATATGCATCCCAGTCACACCTGTGTGCCAGTTATTTGAGAATCAAACTCTGCAAGATGATAAATTAGACAGCCACCCGATGATTCTTTGAATGTGCAGCTGAAGTTTAATGATGATGAAGATTCGCAAATGCTGCAATATGTCATGTGTAGTGGTGACAAAAAAAAAATAATAATAAAAAGAAAGAAATCAGCCATCCTGCTCATTGATCCATCTCAATCCATCACAAGATCTCCGTCCAGCTCAGGGACAAACTGTCCCAAGCCAAAAATAGGCAACTATCTGAGAAAACCAAGAGCTGGCAGATTTTCACAGACCAATGACCGTGCAAGCTGACTTCACAACTAAGAAAAGCTTTAGTGAATTAGTAGAAGTTTATATATAGGTTTTCTTGAATTTTAAAAGAAATGTAATTATCATTTGAAGTTTAATAAAAAAGTGCACTAAAAACGAATTGGCCCCTTATGGATTTCTTCTGTTTTTTCTTTTTCGTAACACTTATTTGTTTTGTGTCAACAACCTATTTCTTTTATATCGGGTTTCTAGGTAACCTTAGAAAACACAAAATGCATTTTTCATATGAAGATTCCATTTATAAAGGGAAAAAGCTTTTCAAACCAAGCTAGCTCTGTGGGAGAAAATAATTACTCTGCCCTTGATGGTAACAGCTGAAAAGAGTCTTTTAAATCACTGTGGAGGGATTTTAGCATACTCTTCTTTGCAGAATTGTTTTAATATTTCCTCACTGGAAGATTTTTTCTTTCTTTTTTAAGATTTATTACCATCACAAATTCTGAATCGAATTTGAATTCAGACTTTGACTTGGACAAATTCAAAACTTTCATTTTGTTCTGTTTAGACATCAAGAGGTGGAGTTGCTGGGAAACTTTGGATCATTCTCTTATCGTGTACTTGAGCTTAACACTAAAGAACAAAAGAAAGGATCCACTTTTGTTAGCTCCAGCAAAGACCATTTTTCAAATTTTGTTTGTTGTTATTGAACCATTGAAACTGATATTTATTGAAACATGCAGGGCCGGCAGTTATTTACATGTTGTTTTTGGTTTCTTTTGTGGATAAGTCTCAAATAATGGCTCTCGCTGTAGAATGTGGTTAATCACAGCTAATTCATGCCTTAACAAGCTCTGTGCTTATATTCTAGGGGCATGATTAGATTGCATATTTTATAAACTACATTTTGTATCTACTTTATCTTTTCCTGAAATAAAAATGTATTTGATAATCTGAAATATGTAAGTGCAAATAAAGCAAGCAAAGACGAACTCTGTTAGGGGGAATGTTGTTACATATGTCTGTAGCTGCACCTGATTGAAAGTAAACATTTGAATGCATTCTCTATGAAATTGCTTCACGTTCCTATAGTGATCACTTCTTTTCCCCCCCAACCATCAATAGATATAACATATTACGTCCATCCATCTTATGTTCATCCATCTTGATTCTCTAAATGTATTAAACCACAACCACAGAACACCTTGTAAACTTAACAAACTCTTCATAATGAATGTTTGCCATCTACACACTTTGTCATTTGCTTTCTTACTTTACCATTCATCACACCAAGGGATGAAAATGTCAAACAAATTACATTATTGCTCTGTATCGATTTCACCCCCCTTCAAAACACGGCCCTTGATTCGATAAAAAACCATGAAATCAATGCTCCAAAAAAGACACCAATAAGAAATCATTTTGGTAGATTCAGTTGGAGAAACATGCTTATCGACAGAAAAAAAAAAAAATCAGGAACGGCACTTCTCATTGCAGTGCACAGGATTTTATTTTCTTCTTTTTAATGTGATTCAACATTTATCAGTCTAACCAAAGAGTTTGCTGGGTTATGAGTTTGTTCTTGGCATTTAGCTCTGCAATTAGCACTATTATTCCTCTGAGAAGCTGCTAGAGTTTTCTGGCACAGTACATTTAAGTGTTGTGTCTACTCTCCGCACATATATGCATAAATCTTTAGAGCCCACCTCCAGTAAAAGAAAAAAAAAAGAGAGAGAAAGGATTGTCTTTCCACAGCTCCATCTTTATTTTTAGAGGCTGGATGTTGATGAGAGGGAAGACAACGCAAGAGGGTGAGAAATAACATCACAAGTGGGGGAAGGAGGGAAAAAGAAAAGTGAAGAGGGAGAGCAAGGTGGCTGGGACGTTGTGTTGGTCCTCTTGTGCTTCAGGAGGCTGCATGTTGGAGAGTCCTTCGTCCGCGAGAGCAGGAGAGAAAAAGGGGACGTAACCACACCAACCTTCCACGCGATGGGGGAGCAAGAGGGTGGGTGTGGGGTCTCTGGAGCTGCTTCCATATAAAAAGCCAAGCCTGAGAACACGGCACCACAAACTCACCACACACACACACACACGCACACTCACAGTGGCTGCTCTGTATCTCTCATGCTCACCCACTCTCATTATTCTCTCCCTCTCCCTCCCTCTGTCTCGCTCCCTCTGTCTCTCACTCCATTCCTCTGGGCTCTGCATACTTCTTGCTTCTTCTCAGAAGTCACATTGTGTTTGTAAGTACGCGCTGAATGTCTCCCTGTGTATGCTTGGGTTTCCTTAAGTCTTTTTCTATGTTTGAGTGACTGCTTGCCTACTTGAGTGTGACTGAGTGGAGTAGCGAGCTGTAGTAAGTGTATGTGGGTCTCTGTCTCACCCTCACACACTCGCCGCTCCTCTTGCAACTCTTCCTGGGATCTCCGGGTCCCTTTCCTCGGTGACAGGCTCCCCACACTAAACAGTCACCATTTCCGCCCCCGGGAGACCCACGCTGGCTGCGCAGCCCCTTCCCCGACTCAGCATCGGGAGGAAGACCCTGGTGGCGGCTGCTGTGGGGGTTATGCTGGTCTTGGTGCTGGTGGTACTCATCCCTGTGCTTGTCAGCTCCGTGAGTACAGATGCCAGCCACTACGAGATGCTGGGCACCTGTCGTATGGTGTGCGACCCTTACTTAAACAAGGGCACTCCGGCTAGCAGCACTAGCTCCACTGGTCTGCAGGGTGAGGCAGAGGCACTGACTGACCACAGCAATGTTCTTCCACCATCCACCCTGCAGCAGGGCCCACAGGGAAAGCCTGGCAGGCCAGGAAAGCCCGGACCGCCTGGACCACCTGGACCGCCCGGACCACCTGGTGAACCTGGGCCACCAGGACCAGCTGGGCCCCCAGGTGACAGAGGGGATCATGGAAGGACTGGGATTTTGGGTCTGGGGGATAATGGAGCTATCAGCACGGCCACCTACAGCACAGTGCCCCGGGTGGCCTTCTATGCCGGGCTTAAAAATCCCCATGAAGGTTATGAGATTCTAAAGTTTGACGACGTGGTCACCAACCTTGGCAACAACTACGATGGCATTTCGGGCAAGTTCATCTGCAGCATACCGGGCACATACTTCTTCATCTACCATGTGCTGATGAGAGGAGGGGATGGCACAAGCATGTGGGCAGACCTCTGCAAAAACGGTCAGGTGAGTACTTTTAAAAGACGTTTGACTTTTCCTTTGGCGCTCCCTCTGCAGCGCGCCTGCTTAAAGATCCATGTTTTGCCAGATGATGTCAGAAAGCTCCCAAATAAAAGAAAAGCATTGTGAAAACTAACGGGGCATCTGCAGTCCGGTTAAAAGCTCACAGCCGTGGCGTACATCCTCATCGGGGGATGGAAAAAAGTGACGGCTGGTTCCAAAGCGTCTTTTCCTGGAGTGATGCGTCCCGAGATAAATGCGCGTCCAGATCCAGAAGACGGTACCGGCTGAACGCGCAGAGCAAGTCAACCCTTGTTGCTTTTACTCAGAAAACCTTTTGGACATCCGCATTGTTCCTCTCTCTTTCACAGTCCGTTTATCTGAAATTAGTGGAATTGAACGGGAGCTGTAGCAAGTTGGCATTTGTATGGCTTCAGAGCGGGGATGGAAATTAAATGAATGAACACACAATTACAAGCTTTCAAACGCAAAACATAATTTTCTCTCGTTCTGTATTTACTTTTATTTTATTTGATACATTAATCAGCCTTAATAATTGTTATTATTTTATTGCCATTATTAGTTTGCGGAGTCACAGTTAACCCTGTGTCAAATGAACTTTTGGAAACGGTGCTGCAGAAAAGGGGAGATAATGCGCCACATCCAGTGTGAAAGCTTAGCGGAATGCGCTGCGTTACGGCTCCTGCACTCATCCACTTCCAAAGTCGTGTTAAATGCGTTTATATGATTTATTCTTGTCCTCTTTGATGCTTGGTTTTCTAATATTATTGTGCGCCCTGAAGGGTCCTCTCCAAACGCGCCTGTCAGTACACTTCACAACTTCCAGCTATCCGTCAGATCTTTTCTCTTCAAAGTGGCGCCAGCACACGTTTTCGACAGTAGCATGCATGATGTTTTAACTTTTCGATTGAGAAAGCATGCATACGTTGTAAATATCAGTCTATTTCTGTATTAGCATTAGAAACCATAGAAAATCACAAAGACAAACAGTAATTTGCTGCAGCCACATAATTATGTGAACCTCATTAAAGACATATTAAAGGAGAGAAATGCTTAGTTCTAACAGTTTCTGGCCAGAATTATATGAAGTTATTAGAAATAACAAATTAAGATGTCTTACTTTATTGCCCTTCCCAAAATGCATTTTTAATCTACAAATTGATGCTTAACAAGCTCAGATGCACTTAGTTTCTTGTCACATAAAATCACAGTGAATTATGCACACGGAGATGCATTGTTGTGATGGGACACACAGCATTCCATCTTTTGCTACAGATGAATTATTTAAAAAATTGATCAACAAAACGCATTACTTAATCATTTTAGATGGCTGTAATTTACAGAAATGAGTGTTGTCTCTGGAGAAAGATAAAAAAATGTGTCAAAAAAAATTAAGATAAATTGTGTTACAAACAAAACAGCTCCAGACAGCAGGTATTGAATGAAAACCTTTTAAGGGCTTATGCTTTTTGGAAGATGCTCCAAAGGATTACACACACAGATTTGACACATAAACCCACAGTGGTTTTACTCTGCACAAGCCAAGACCATGACAGCGTGAACCTTCAGTCTCACCAAAGGAGCCAGAGGTTAATTCCTTTACCCTCAACTATATGCTCAGTTAGAAATAAAAGGGGAGTTACAGCAATCACCTTCTATGTATAATGCCTTACGCAACAGTAATGTTTATGGGTGAGTGTAAAAGCATTGATATATAGAAGGGGGTAAAGAACATATGTGGCCATAAAAACGCCTTCTGTTCCTGCCTCATTCTACTCTCAAGAGGAAGGTGTGGAGGTACTTAAGTTAGCATCATCGTGTTCATCTCCTGAGACCCGGGTAATGTTTTCAAAGTGGCAACTGCTGCTCTGACTCTGTCCTCCTCTGTCCCATGCATGCACAGCTAATGCATAAGTGAGCAGTCCTCTCACTTTTTTATTGGGGTAAGCCTGGTTTAATGGAAGAACCTCCTGAGTATTACTTTGTGTAAATGACTGTGAATGGTTATAAATATTTGTCCAACTTATGCTTCATCACTGATGAAGTGCTGAAAGTCGAGCACAGGCTCCTACGGCCTCGCTAGTGCTTTACTCAGCTCATTAAAGCTGCAAGAAGCTGTTCTGTGAGTGGGGGGACGAAGGAGGCTGGGGAATTGCAAACAATAACAGTATTTTATCATCTTTTGGATTCAGCCAAGTGTTGAGAGTTTTAGGGTCTGTGCAGCGATGTTTTCACCTTAGCATGTACTTCTTCCACTTTTATAGGTCGCCTTTTCTTCACGACTTCTACTTGTGTCTCTGTTCTCTTGCTACAGTGCAACAGAACAATTCAAGCAATTTCCCCAAAACTTCTACCATTTTTGGGCCAAACTTGAACATGGCAGTTCACCCCACTTCATTCACTTTTTTATTGTTGTTGTCTTCAATACCTTTACTTCTGGACTAAGCCTGGAATTTAAAGTTCGTCTCAATGAATCAATGCATTGCTGCAGCATCTTTTGGCCACATTCTCTGGGACTTGGCAGTGACAATGAAGACAAATTTTAAGTGGAAGGGATAAGAAAGGAGGGCAGAAAAGACACGGTTATTGTGCTATTGTGCCATCTTGTCGATTTAATTGTAATTAAAAAGCTTGAACCAGATCCAGGATGTGTTTTCGGCTCTCCTCTCAGTTCCCTTCTTAATATTGTTATTAATCCGCAAAACCGTTTCAAAGTTAATTAAAAGCAATGACTTCAGCGTCAGTCTCTCAAGAGAACCATAGTGAATAATCACTCTGTCTCCTCCTTTAATAAGCTTCAACGTCCTTCGTGCACATGCCTCTTCCCTTGCAATTACCACTGCAGTCTCCTCCTTATACCTACACACAAACTCCAACACACACCCGCATGCTTTGCTGCCCCCTTCTAGCCCATTGCCTCGACCCACACCAGCGGTGTAGTGCCCTCCAACTCTCCTCTATGGTCCACAGATGCTCACTCCTCTTTAGAAGTTTTTATCTTAAAAAAAAAAAAGAAAAAAGTTTTGCTCCAAAAATGGGAGCCAGGGAGAAGTGGATTGTGACACCTCAAAATCGATTTACTAAAAACGCAGCGCCTTTTGTATTGTTCATTGTTCTCAAGTGATGCATTGCTGTGTAGCAGAATGAGTTAAAGTATGCTGTCTTCCCCTCAAACTTTGCTTTTAAGAAAAACTTTTTTTTTTCCCCATTTAACCATTAAACATTGCTTGGCTTTTAGTACAGTCACATGTCATTTCCTTGTCAAACCATTCGTCGCAGACCATCTCCACTCCTAAAGGCATCTCCGGGAGGTCTTCAGCTCTGATACACATGAACACAGATTGTTTATCCTGTTGCTGCATATCCAGGTGAAACCCACGCACAGTGTTTAGCATCTGGTCACAATTCCAACATTAAACACGGGAGCTAAGCCATCTGGATTGGGTCTGCTGTGTTGAGTGTCAGAAGGATGTTAATAATAAAAAGGAGATATCAGTAAACCTATTAACATGACAAAAGACAGTTTTTCTTTACTTTTTAAACTCAAAGTATCCACGCTACAGCAACACTTTATTTGGCTTGATTGATTTTAGCATTCTGGTAATGTTTGGACCTGCGATTCTTCGTTGTGCACTGAGGAACCTTTGTGTGTTTGCTTGGTGTAACAGAGGCACTCTGTCTGAAAGAGACAAGCGGGGTTTGAGAAAGTCACCCTAAGTCCCTCATCCTTTTTGCTTGTGGTATTGATCCCCTTATGGGCAAGTGTATGAGTGAGAGTACATGCTTTTCTTTCCTTCCTCTGAGAGACCTGCTTCTTTCCACGATGTGTGTATATCATGGCACTTCTTCTATAATCAGCTTGAGACGTAGCGGAGGCGGACCTTTGGCCTTGATCTTCTGTGTAATTGGACATTGGATTTGACACTCTGCCGAGTGGAACATTAGAGCTGGCCTAATTAGGTGCGAGAGCTATTAAATGAAGATTGGCCAACGTTGTTAGAAAATACCACACAGATTGGAAATGTCAAGATGACATCGAGCTGTCATCTGGAAGCACGTTGAAGAAAATCTATCATTCTTGGAGAAGATTTAATGTTTCAAAACGGCCCAAACATTTTTTCTGTTATATTTCAATTTAATGTTCATATACTGCAAAGTTGCATCTCAATAAATTCACTAGGTTGGAGCTTATTTTGCACAAATTACACCGTCAATGCAGTGTGGCATATGGATAATTGATCTATGACTCTGGTTAGTTCATAACAAAGTCCATGTTGTTATAATAGTGGCCTTCAGCTCATCTGCATTGTTGGGTCTGGTGTATCTTATCTTACCCAAGAACTATTCAATAGATTCTCTCTGGAGTTAATGTGAGGACAGGTTGCAAGGCAATCAGGCACCATAATATTATGGTCATTAATGATACCTTTGGCAGTATGTGCAGCGGGTCGAAAAGGAAAACAGTATCTCCATAATGCTCATTAGCAGAAGGACGTATGAAATCTTCTGAATTTTCTGGTAGAAAGCTGAACTGTCAGATAAAACCCATTGGACCAACACTAGCAGATGAAACTGATTCCCAAATCCGCACTACTTGTGGAAACTTCACAATAGTTCTCAAGCGGTTGGGATTCTGCGCTTATCCAGTCTCCCTCCAAAATCTGAGCTTGAATTTACTTTAAGTAGACTGTGATCTTTTTCATTCTTAAGATGACTTCACACACTGTCTGAAAGACCTTGTCTGTGTTGTGGCTCTTGAAAACTGTCTTCATCTGCCTCCTAAGGCTTGTGACTCTCTCCCAGACCTTAGACTGGTATTTGGTTCACAAAAGCTGTGGATTTCACTGTTATTTCAGAACCATTTTTAGCACACTTTGTCCTTCTTTATTCTTATTACATTATATTACATTATTATACAACCTGTTGACAACCTGCTTGTTTACTTTTGTGTCTTATCATCCTTGTAGAAGGTTTCAAAGACTGTC